TTGTAATCTATGTAGCACCGACACAAAGGCGTGTCCGTGTCGGGGTCGGACACCTGTACCGACACTTGTGATTACGTGTAATTTATTCATCTTTACAAATTATTATCGGTGTCAGCGTGTCAGTGTCGGGGTCAAATTCGGGGTGTCCGTGCTTCATAGATTGTGATATTTTCTATAGTAGAATTGCCGAAATAACTTTATTTTCATGATTTTTTAGGGAATGTGCTATAGTTTACCTACTCTAGATGATCCATTCAATGATAGACGCGGGAAACCGGAATTCAAAACAAGGGATCCTGAAACGAAAACAACTCCCCGAAAAGAAAAGACAGATCGTGTGAAAGGGAAGAATGCACCCGGCAGGAAAGGCACAGTTGGTGGAAGTATTTCACAGAAATCAAATCAACAAACGGGAAGTGATGCCAACAATAAAAGTCTCACAGAGAAGGAAATTGTAAAGACGAATCAGCAGCATGATAATGAAATTTCAGACTTCCCTTCCAAATTTGTTTTCTGGTGTCTGAGTGCGATTGAAAACGCACTGCGACATGATGATGCCTACACTGAGGGAGAAGGCAACTCTTTCTTTCTTGACCCGTGGGGATTAGAATTTTCAAAGTGTTTTTCTACTGGTAAAGATTTGATGGACACCAGTGGGACCTTTGCTAGTACTGAGCAAATTGCATGGATGGTTTCTGCGGCAGCTGATGTTTTTGTTAGAAAAGAGAAACAAGGCGTATCATTAGAGTCCCCCTTTCTTTTGTTCCTCGTCCCTTCCGAAAAAAAAGCTGGCCAGGTTAGATAAAATTCTTTTACATGCTTACATTTCATCTCTGATAAAAATCTCTTTGGAAACATGCACCCAACACCCTCTTCTTCCTCCCCCAAGACAGTTCATGATGATATAAACACTTACCCTGCAATTCAATAAAAGGCAATAGCAAGCATTAAAGGGATTGGAAACTTATTAACCTTGCATGCTACTGTGAACATTTACAACCTTTTGACTTTGTTGATAATAACTTGAATCCTAAAAGTTTATAATTGATAACACAGGTCCGAACGGTTTGCAAGCCTTTGAAATCTCTAGGAATACATACAGTTAGTCTTCATCCGGGTGCTTCCTTAGATCATCAGATTCAAGGGTAATTGCTTAAACCTTGTCTTTTGTTTTCCATGGTTTAACATTTTGATATTGATGTACATGTGTTTGATCAATATGACATGATATGCATAGAGAGCTATTAGAGCATAGGAATTTTTTGTACTGACCAATTTTCGGTAATGCATGTCGTTATTCTTTATTCAAGTTCCCTGATAACTATAGATCCTTGTTTGCATGAATATTTTTGAGAATGTGCATCATACAACTACTTGTTTAAGGTTTTCTCAGCTTTACCCTTTATGGTAACCAACTTCGTATTGAACATTTGTTGTCTTCAACAGTCTGAAAAGTTGTGAGCCCGAGTTTCTCATTGCTACTCCTGAGAGGCTCTTGGAGCTTGTTTCAATGAAGGCAATTGATATTTCTGATGTCTCCATGCTGGTATGTTTTCTTTCCAATGTTCCATGCAGAGAGTATGTATATATCTATTTAGAAGAAGAAAATATAAAACAATGTTACAATCTGTTCCACTGGTATCCTCCAATTCCCTTACATCAAAGGTCCTTATGACTCTTTGAGCATCTCTTCCTCCTCAACAACCAACTATATTCATCCTAGTTACGAGCTCCTTGTCACGCCACATCTGCTCCTCCTTTTCCTCAATCAGACCTGTACTGATTCTGAATTATTTGGTTGTCCAAATGTTCCACAATCAGTTTCACTGCTATCCTCCATTTCCCTTACATCAAAGGTCCTTATGATTCTTTGCGTACCTCCCCTTCCTCCTCAACAACCAACTGTATTCCTCCTTATTACCCATCCCATGCAAACAAGATCCGAGTCATATTTGCTTGCTCCCAGCTCCAAGTTAATATCCATTTTGTTCAGTACATATTTTTGTATGTTCCTAAGGGGGGATTTGTGTGGAAGGGAGATGAACTTGATAGGGTAAATGTCTCAATCATTGTTTGGTCAACATTCCCATGGAGTCTGCGTATTTTATGATTGAATACATTGCTATATTTGAGTGGTAGAAGCTCGGTTGATTTGTACTCAAAATATGTTTACTTTTGCTGTGTTTTTCTATCTTCATTTAATATTCATGTTTCTGCTTATTTTCTATCATTACAATTTAATTATTTTGCATAGGAGTTGAGTGACAATTATAGGCATCTTTTAATATTAAAATAACTGTATGCACAGTTTTTTATGACTGAAGTATTATTACCTGTATTCTTTATATGGTCTTGCTAACTTGTGCCCTAAAAGGGCACAAGTTAAGGAATCCAAAAGTAGATATCTATCATTGAATAATACAATATTTTGAACTTTAAAAGTTGAATGCATGTCTTTTAAGAAAAAATATTATACATTTAGTTCCTTAACTCGTGTCCTTTGGGCACAAGTTAGCATTAGCCTTCTTTATAAGTAAGTTCTGAACACTTTTTTTTTTTTATAACCTGTTCTCCTTACCATCTTTTATCGTTCTATTTACCATCTTTTATTGATTAGTTAATGTTTTGGTATTAAATAGGTTATTGACGGGCTTGATGCTATTTGTAATGCTGGCCATGCTGATGCAATAAAATCCATCAAGAAGCTTATTTCTGGCAATCCTACTCTTGTGGTTTTCAATGATAGCAACCATACATCTATCCCAGTAGTTAGGCATCTTCTGACCAGACCTATTTGTAGAATGTCTATTAATAATTCAATCGCCAGCCAAAGTTCATGCATTGTACAGTCTGTTCAAGTGTGTACATCAGATGAGGATACACATGTTAAGGTAAATCTATTGCTATGCTAGTGATGGATTCTATTTTATACGCCCCCTGTTCTTTTAAGTTGCCGTTTTATGGTTATTTTATTGTTAAGGTAAATTTTGTTTTTTTTTAATGAATTATTTGTTTTTTCCTATAACACTTAGTTATTTAATATATCATTTCACATATTTCTCTGTACAATAAACACTCACAAAAATTTTCTACATAAGTGACAATTAAAAAGGAAAGAATGGAGTATATTTTTTGTATTGAAATTAACACTTACGAGTTACGAGTACCTTACTAAGTCATCTTTTTTTGTTGCTTTTCTTGACGATATCAAAAGAATTAAATTACTTAAAGCTAGAGATTATTATATGAACTTCCATTATATTTTTAAGAAAAGCTTTACCATTAAAATGACCTTGCTCCCCTCTTAATAGATTTAGAGAAACTTCAGTGTTCATTTGATCTTTCTACAATACCTCCCCTAGTGAGATAAGTTTTGATTATTATTGTAGTTTATAGATATGTGAGTTCAACATGAATCTTGGCCTTTCTGTTGCTTTAGCTTTATTTGTTTTCTTTAGTTGGACTTGACAAGTGCAGGACCTTTTCTTAGGGTTTGAATAAGCTTAATATTAACTTAGTCTAATGAAATTAATGAAGAACTAGTTTCAAACAGTTTAGCTCCATGTGAAAATCTTCTGGTTTGTTTGTATGATATGAAGCAATTTCAACCAATGCATGATCTCATTATTCTACTACTATGTTTGAATTTTATCAAATGATTTTATTTTCAGAACTCACAATTTCATCTTACATAAGTCGCCTATGTTTAAATGTTTATAATATTAAAAGTATAAGTGCTTATTATTCTTTTTCCATTTCCACCCTTAAAATTTGTAGCTTACACATCCTTATTACTAGATTTTCATTTAGTGTTTATGGTCAATACTGCTATAGAAAATGCTTGCATGTAGCTATTCATTTTTATTTGGATGTCAAGTTTTAAAAGCACTTGTTATTACTATTATTCTTGCAGAGCATTGATGTCCTATGTCAATTTTGGAGCAACCAAAATCATAATTCAAACCTTCTATATATTTTGAGGAAGGATGTTAAGTGCCTTAAATTGGTCAAGACTCTCAAATCCATGGGTTGTTCCACGTCAATTGAATCTGATGCAGCTACAATTAATGATAGGTAACACCAAATGTCTTTGTGCATATTTTGGTTTAATTTCTTCTATTATGATATGCATCGAACCGAGCTTAAGAGAAGTCTACTGAAAAAAGTAAAGTGTTGATAAGGGGTTATTGCAGCCATCATTGGTTAATACAGTTTTAAGAAACTTTTTGTAGGCGTGTCATTGGGTTCATATTATCGCTATCAATTTAATATAAAGATTTAATGAAAGACAAAACTTACAATGAACGTCGTAGCTAAAGAAAAAAAAAAGGAATGAACAACATTCAAAATTATACAAATTTAAATTACAATTCTGTATCAAACTCATTTTCATACCAGTATTGCATCACAAGTTGCACTGTAACACTTACACTGGTATTGCTTCACTTTATATTGAACTTTCTATAGGAGCTAATGTACTGTTTTGTTGCAGTGTGGATCCAAAGAGAAGATTGGTTACAATGATTGATTTGGAGGATATCGCGACTTCGGATATAGGGATGTATGATGCAATAGTGCTACCAAATTTTGTACCCACTATGGTTACCTATGAGCATATTTTGACAAATATGGCCCGTCAAAGTGTCAACGGCATTTTGCATGGTTTCTTAACAAAAAGTGATACAGAACATGCTGGACCACTCATCTCAATTCTTGAACAATGTGGGCAGGAAGTTCCTGAAACCGTGAAAGATCTTCATCTGTCATCAAATATGTCCGAAAATTGAAAGTTGAAGGTTCTTTGTCATCCTTTTCTTGTTAGTTGTGATCAATTCAATGTTTGAAAATAGGTTTTGGATCTTTGAATGGAAGGAAGATTAGTGTGCAAATTGGAATTCGAAAACACATCATCCCATTTGGAAATTTTGTAATATTGTCCTTGTTGCCGAGTGAAGGACTGTAGAATTTTGCTACATAAGTTATGTCAACTTTAGCTTTCAATGCTTTTCGGTTTTTATCCGAGTGAAGGAATAACTTTGGCCATTAGTGGATATAATCGATTTTTCTTTCTCAACTCTTATGCACACGCAGAAAAAGTTATTAACGTGGAAAGAATCCCTAGTAAAAAAAAAGTTCAGATGAGTTGGATTTCAGGAGTCAAAGAAGGCTTCAAGGTTCAAAGGGTACTTATAGATCGCCCACCAAAGAGATTGGCACACATCAGTAGTGGCCACACAACTTATTGGATAAGTGTGTGAGTAAACTCTATCAATTGACAACATTAATGAGTTTAAAAACAATAAAAATTGTATTTGAAAAATATGTAAAATATAAATACGAGACCAGAAATATTTTGACCAAAGGTATAACTAAGATTTAGGGGACATAATTAGCATAACTTTTTTTTAAAAATTTTATAAGCTAAAAATATGTTTTAAAAAGATAATAACAGTCTAAGACACATAGTATAACTTAGGAAATAGAAAAAAGATCAAAAAAAGTTTAATATTCTTTTTTTATTCTGAATGTTAATCTCAAAGTTTATTTTGAGCTCTTAAATGAAAAAAAATTTATATTAATCTCTTAATTCTTTAAAATGTATCATGTTAGTCTTTTTTACGTGATTAAGAATAAATTTAGTGAACAATTTTAAATTTTATATTGTTTCTTTAAATTCCAATTTATCTTCCCAGAGGATAAAAGAAAGGCATGGTCGAAAGAAACATATGCCCTGAGACCGGATGAGTTTCCATGATTGTTGTTAAGCAAGTGTACTATATTGTGCAAGTAGTAATATAGAGAAATGTCAAACTCAAAGACTTTGTATGATTATTGAATTTGTGTAAAGTTTCAGTTGTGAACAAAAGGATACGAGGAGTTTGAAATTGGTTTATTTCTAAAATATAAAATAAAAATAAAAATAAATTGAATTGAATTGAAGTTGATATGATGAAATATGTCAGAGATGAGTTTGATTTTAATTCCCATATGTACTATAAGTTCACCTTGTTATTGATACTAAATATTAGACATGAATGAGATTATTTATCTCTAATTCCGTAGTGAATAAAACTTAAGTCTTAAATTAATTCTGTATGACTATTACTGAATTTTAGATAAAACTAAATTTAATTACCAAGAACAATTATGTTTCAAGGTACTATCCCTAGGCATATGTTAGCAATAATTTTTCTATTAAGTGTTACTTGTTGAAATTACTTTCTAACAGTTAATCGTATATCAATTTACAATTTAACAAGTTAAAGAGTAAAGAGTATTAAGAGCAAATAATAATAAATCACACAAGAATAAAAGACAAATTTATTACTATAATTAATTTAGGCTACAAGGCCCATCAATGACAAATTTATTACTATAATCAGCTCCATCAATGACAAACTAAAGACATTTCTCAAAAATACTACAACTAATTTTTAAGTGAGAGAAAGTAAGAAAATATTTTTAGAGAGAGTGTGTGAGAAGTGAGGTATGAAAACTCATGATTTTGGATATGAGAATATGAGGGATGAGACCTCTATTTATAGGTTAGAATTTGACATCAAAAGGAAAATTTTTGCGGTCAAATTTAATGAGCCTTTGATGCTAAGTTTAATGAAGGAATATTCCTAGGATACTCATCTTTGAGTAAAGTTTATGGAGTTTATAATCATACACTATTAAAAAAATGACATTTGAGTAAATGTTTTTACATCAGGTATAAAAATATACGATGTAAAAAATAAATTAAAAACATTTTACATCAGGTATTTATTTGCAATGATATAAACAATATGAAAAAAATATTTTTCGCTATCTATTACATCGGGCCATTTAATCTACCGATGTAAAAGGTTTCGTGAAAAAAACACGGTGGCAGTTTTGTAAATAACAAATCAGGTGGTAGAATTGTAAATAAAAAACACGCCAGATATTACATCGGTTCCTGCATTCGACCGATGTAAAAAAGAGGGTGGCAGATTGGTAATATAAAAAATAGGCTAAGCCTTACATCGGGCCATTTATTCCACCGATGTAAAAAACATGAAAAACCTTACATTGGTCCTTTCGTTAAACCGATGTAAAAAACCTTAAATTGTAACTACTACATCGGGCCAATGCTTGCACCGATGTAAAAAACATAAGCGCCTACGAACCCTTACATCGGGTCAATGCTTGCACCGATGTAAAAACTAATATATATAATTTGGAAATAAACCCAGATTGCGAATTATTTCGTCATTGTTCCACTTCTCAGTCCGTCTCGCCTACGAACGCTCATATCCTCGCAGCTACTTCGTCCGTCTCCGCCCGTCTCGCCTACGAACGCACCCGCCTACACCGTCTCCGCCCATATCCTCCCTCCGCCGTCTCCTCACAGATCCGCCGTCTCCTCGCAGATCCGCCGCCGACTGCACGAAGACGAAGGCGTTTCTCCAGCCGTCACACTGTCGCCGTCTTTGCCGTCTTCGAAACCTCCTCCACCGTCCAACTACGATTCCGGTACGAAATTTTCTATTTTGTTCAACTTCATTGTATATCTATAGATTTCTAAGAGTTATATATACAAAAAAGTTTTTAAGATATTCTTGTTTCTTTGTTTGCTACTGAGATTCATTATAAAAAATTAGAAGTACATAGAAAAATAATTAGAAGATTATACTATGAATCCATTAATTTGTTCATATCTGTTTTTTAATTACTAAACAATTTATTATTATTAGAGAGGTTAATTAAGTCTAATTAGTTATAAATAGTATATATTTTGTATAAAGTTAAGAATATAGTACATGTTGTGTATAATTAGTCATTCTTTTTCATTAGAGAAATTGTCTACTTAGAAACCTCCGAAAAAAGCGTTAATGGTCCTATCAGAAACACACAGTTTATCTTTAACCTATCAAACTTAATAGAGTTATCACCTTGCCATTGAAATTTGATTCTATTTTTCTTTCTCCGCGAAGCAGCACAACTTGCAATCTCAGAATCTCCGTGAAGTAGCGCAGCCGCGGGCACACCCTTCGTCAGACCTTCCTCCGTGTGAACATAGTTATGGATCGTAGTTGGATGAGAGCTAATCGATTAAGTGACGAGTACGAACACTGAGTGATGGAATTTCTACAGTTTGCTGAAAGTAATGCTGAAAAAAGTCTTCCTACACTTTTTCTCTGTCCATGTGTTCGTTGTGCAAATAAAGAACCAAAATATAGTAAGAAAGAAATCATGGATCATCTAATTTATGTAGGGATTTGTCAAAGTTATACAAAATGGATATGGCACGGTGAAGTAGTAGCAAAGTCAAATGTGTCTCAAAGATATGATGTTAGTGTAGAAATGGATGATCGTCTAGAAGACATGATGCGTGATATTGGACAAGATTCGTTTAAGAGGGCACATACGTATGATACTATATGCAGTGACAAGGATAAACCATTGTACCCGGGATGCAAAAAATTTACACGTCTATCATCCGTGTTAAAATTATTTAATCTGAAGGCAAAGAATGGGTGGACTGACAAAAGTTTTACCGAGTTGCTTGAATTGTTGACCGAAATGCTTCCAGAAGGTAATGTAATGCCAAGTCGTTATTACGAGGTGAAGAAAATATTGTGTCCGATGGGTTTGGAGTATGAAAAGATACATGCATTCCCTAATGATTGCATATTATACAGAAAAGAGTATGTAAACTATAATCATTGTCCGAAGTGCAAGGCTTCACGCTACAAAAAGAAAGATGGTGAATCAATTGATGATGAGGTGGTCAAAAAGGGTCCTCCTGCGAAAGTGGTATGGTATCTACCAATAATTTCAAGGTTCAAGAGATTATTCGCCAATGCAGATGACGCAAAGAATCTTAGATGGCATGCAGAAGAAAGAAAATATGATGGACAAATTCGTCATGTAGCTGATTCTTTGCAATGGAAGAAAATAGATTCTTTGTTTCCAAATTTTGGCAAAGAGTCGAGAAACCTTAGACTTGGACTTGCTACTGATGGAATGAATCCGTTTGGTAATCTGAGTACTAACCATAGTTCTTGGCCTGTTCTCCTGATGATTTACAACCTATCTCCTAGGCTGTGCATGAAGCGTAAATATATTATGTTATCGATGATGATATCGGGCCCAAAACAACCAGGAAATGACATAGATGTTTATCTAAGTACATTGATTGATGATTTAAGAGTGTTGTGGGAGGAAGGGGTGGGTGTTTTTGATGCGTATTCTGGCGAACGGTTCAATATGCATGCCATGTTGTTTTGCACCATCAACGATTTTCTGGCATATGGTAATTTGTATGGGTATAAAGTTAAAGGGCATAAGGCGTGTCCTATATGTGAAAAAGACACATGTTATCATCAGCTTGAAAAAGGAAAGAAGACTGTTTATCTCGGGCATCGAAAATTTCTAAAACGTTATCATCCATATCGTAGATTGCAGAAAGATTTCAATGGGGAACAAGAGCATGGTGTTGCTCCAAAGCCCTTCTCTGGAGAGGAAGTTTATCAGCGACAACAGGGACTTGATGTTGTCTTTGGAAAGTACCAAAAACGATCTACTGTGAAAAATGTATGGAAAAAGAGATTGATTTTCTTCGATCTTCCATATTGGTCTAGTCTTGATGTAAGACATTGTATTGATGTGATGCACGTGGAGAAAAATGTATGCGGTAGTGTAATCGGAACACTTCTCAACATTCAAGGCAAGACAAAATATGGTATTAATGCTTGTCTAGATTTGGGTTTGATGGGTATACGAGAAGAGTTAACTCCATAATATATAGGTAACAAGACATATTTGCCTTCTGCCTGCTACACTTTGTCTAAAAAAGAGAAAACAAGTTTTTGTGAGTGTTTACAAAGTATCAAAGTGCCGCATGGTTACTCATCAAATGTCAAGAGGCTTGTATCAGTTAAAGATCTTAAATTAGTTGGCTTAAAATCTCACGACTGTCATGTCTTAATGCAACAATTACTACCATTGGCTATTCGTGGAAATTATCGATGGAAGCGGAAAAGGAAGTTGTTCAGCTGCAAAAGGAAGCACAAAAGGAAGCACAAAAGACGTGGAAGTTGATGATGTTCAGAGATTGTTACTCATGGTTTTGAAAATGGATGATAACCATTTGGAAATACAATTAAGTCATTGTGCGAGTGTCTCTAATTTTTATATTCCAGCTAAGTGTATCAGAGAGTTATTGGTGGATTTAGGTCATTGGCTTGACATGTCTATTCTGCAAATTTGGTGCACGTAAGTACATTTTATTATTTTATTAAAGTTAATCTCTATTAATATGTTATATCTCTCATCACTTTGATTCCAATGTTTATTTTAAAATTATTCAGGTATATTCATCGTGTATGTCTTGAGAATTCCATTTCAGAATTATATGGATTTATGGACCCTGCTAGATGTATTTATAATGATAATGGAGCGAAATCTCAAGAGGGTGTTAAAAATTACGTACTAGAAAAGTTACGTGATGAAAACAGAGTGTGCCACTTATTACCGTTAATTCATGGGTAAGAATTTTTATGAAATTGTGTTTTATATTATTTAATTTTGATAACATATATATTTTATGTGACTTTTCTGTTTCCACACACACATACATGAGACATTGGCAATTAATAGTCATGTGTCCAAGAGACAATTTAGTTGTCGTATTTTGTTCACTTCATCGGGAAATTGACCAGAACACAAAGAAAATTATTACAAAGCAAGTTTATCTTTCATGTGACTTTCATTGGCAACTAATAGTTATGTGATTTTTTATTGGCGAGTAAATTTAGTTATGTGATGTTTATCTTTATGTATTAGTTCTTTTGGGATTCATCAAATGGCAAATGAAAATAGAAAAAAGGCTACATGACTTCATCCCAATGTAAGTGTGATGTAAATTGTAATTCTATAGTTAAATTTATGATAAATATTCACTAATTATGTCATTCAATTGTACACAAGGCAACAACATAACTCTAATGATTATGGATACTATGTGATGAAAAATATGTTGGATATTGTCTCTGCTAATATAACCGAGAATTGGATGCAGGTACTAAAAATAACTTTACTTTTTTATTTACTTTTTGTTTTTTGACTTAATATGAATTTTTAAAGAATAACTCTATATTGTTATATTTATGTATTATAGGTATTTGATGACCCAACAAATTAACACAAGATGATTTGTATGATTTGTGACTCCGTTGGGCAAAATGTTTCTTTGAGTTATATAAAAATTAAGTTTATCTGGTGAGTTTTATAGAATTGTCTAAGTTGTGGTTTTTGCACATAATTGTTATTATTGAGTTTTTACATATTACATGTGGTTTTTGCACATGTATTGAGTTTCTTGAATTTTTTTGCTGATGTTAATTGTTATTATTTATTGTCAGGCAATGTGATTTTGGTGTTGTCTACCAAAGCTATAACCCATCTACTTGTGGATTTTATATTGGTAATTCAAGTTTGGAAAAAGACTTATAAATAGTTGAATATTTTTGTATGTTTTGTGAAGAATATGTATTTGTAAGTTTGTTGTGAGTTTGTTTGTTGTGATACAATACAAGTTTGCAATACAATTGTTCATTTTGTAAGTTTGTTGTGAAAAATATGAAAATATCGACCTAGATATGGTCTATGTGATGTTGGAAAGTTATGAAATCTATATAGCGACATAAATATAGTCTGTGTGATATTGGAAAAATATGAAAAAATGGGTACCAATTTTTTTTTACAGGAAAACATCCAGAAAATAAATAATTTATTCTAAAAAGATTTCTTACATTTTACATCGGTTATTACTCCCAACTGATGTAAAAACTTTCAAAACTGTATATATTACATCGGGCTTAGATGACAACCGATGTAAAAAAGGGACTTTTTACATCGGTCCACACGTTTAACCGATGTAAAAAGTTGCGTCAATTTTTTTTAAATAATGTTATAATTGTTTTTTACATCATTCTTAGATCACAACCGATGTAAAAAAGGGACTTTTTACATCGGTCCTCACATTTAATCGATGTAAAATGTTGCATCAATTTTTTTAAAATAATGTTATAATTGTTTTTTATATCAGTCTTAGATCACAACCGATGTAAAAAAGGGACTTTTTACATCGGTCCGCATGTTTAACCAATGTAAAATGTTGCGTCAATTTTTTTAAAATAATGTTATAATTGTTTTTTACATCAGTTTTAGATCACAACCGATGTAAAAAATGGACTTTTTACATCGGACCTAGAACCGATGTAAAAAGTCTCTGATTTACTATATCGCCTGACTTTACATCGGACCCAGAACCGATGTAAAAAGTCAGTTTCATCCGATGTAAAAAGTCATTTCTGCACTAGTGATAGATCATCATCAGTCGAAGAATCTATTCATGTTGCATTTGATGAATCCTCGCCCAAAAAGGCGGGGAAAGGTATTTGTTCTAATATTTTAGGCGTGATAACATAGAATTTGATCAAACAATAAAAGTCCCAAAGTGTATCCTCCGCCCTCACAAAAGGATGAGGACATTAATGAAGATAAAGAGTAA